AGAAACCTATGTAAACATATTTAAAGGTAAGTCGTTAAAAATATGTAATTTTGTTTAAAGCACGTGCTTATAAATTGTAATACTAACATATTAACTAAATATTAAGTATGTAGGACGTACTTCCAAGTAAAATAATAAAAATGATGTACCTTTAAGCTATATAGGGATATAGGTATATAGGTATATCCTTTAAAATTATGTAATTGGAATTTTAATATTTCATTTAAAACCTTGAAAGTTTGATTTCTTTCTTCAAAAGTTTTATTCCATCAAATAAACACAACAAMATATTAAAATTTATCTTATAATCAAAGTTTATTACATTTAACATTTTTTTCATCACTTACGAAATTGTTAATGGATGTTGCAGAACTCAGTTTTTTTTTCTCGCATGATCTTATATTGTAATACGAAAATGAATCGAGTAACGTAAACACATTATATTATATACATRATATGCTCATAATTTTGAAATGTCATCTCATCAACTTCACTCTCTTTGCGTGATATATTCGTATCTATGTTATTTCTATACAACTATAGATGATTATTTAACCATATATAATACTGACCGAAACCAATGTTCCTAATTACGTGTTGGGCCACAATTTTCGTATTAGAATACGTATGTATACAGATGCTATACTACGTATAATACATAATTTTGGGAAATGATTGATTGCAGTGGGTTCCTCGCGGGAGTGCAGATCACTATACTGTGGAGACGAGGAAAAAATAGTGTAACGAGCCGAGAGAATGTAATGAGCTGCGCATACAGACACATATGATCGAACAAAGAGACCCAGAGAGCTCTTGATAACGCGTGACTTGCGATTTTCACCCGCGATCGGTTTCTATTCTCTTTATGGTCGGTTAATTGAAAAGTAAAACGAAAAAAAAAAAAAAAATTTTTAACTTACCATCTATTATGTCTTTTAAAAACAGATATTTCAATTTATAATATAAATGAAAAAAAAGCAATACAGAAAGAAATGTCATTACGCGTGCAGCGGCGGCAGCACCGGCACAGGCACGGGCACGGCCAAACATATTACATAGCTGGTCCATATTATAATAATATAATAATACATAATACGTATGTACGTATTTCTATTTAAGCATCGCAAATAAAAATATCAAAAACGGACCGGATAATGAGCCACGTGATTGATCGCTTTCTTTTCATTCATATTACGCCTATACGATATATATAATATTATACTACAATGCGTATAGATGCCTAGACATATAGCACACACACTGTACAAACACCGTCTGTGCGTGTGTAATTTTTGGACAATTAAATGCACCCGTTAAGTAATATCCCAAAGCGTTTAAGTTTTCTATATACGTAGAATAAATATACACTATATCCAGTAGGAACAAATCATTTATACTCACTATACTACATGCATTATATTGCATATAGTTGCTGCAGGTATTGTAAAAATATGCACTAGTCATTTAAAATAGTATGGACAATATTGTTTAAGATACGTAGGTAGGCATTCCTCGTGTTTATCGTAGACTATGATACATTTTTACGCGATACGCCATAAAAAAAAAAAAAAAACATAATATAAATATTTCCACATAATCTGTAATTGTAGCTTCCAGCAGGATACTTTCCTAAAAATTGATATTATGTTTACAAATCGAATGTTGAACAGGTGGCTTTTATTTCAAGCATTTAAAATTTTAAAAGTTAGACGAGAGAAATTGTAAATGGGCAAATGACAATAAAGAGTATAATATGGGTAAGTGCATATTATAGTGGTGGATAAAATACAGAAGGGACTATAGATATTAGATACTGTAGAATTTACTGAATTATTGTTACAACTTAAAGTAGGTAACTTTCTCGTAAATTCATTAATTTATATAAAAAAAAAAAAATGCGTTTAATACTTTATATCTTATATGTCTATAATGTCTGAACACAGACGATATTTTATATTACGTTTATACTACTTAATAGTTTATTATACTTTTTGAAACTATTCAATACTATTTTATTTGCAGTATTAATTATGTGACTTAAAAGTTAAAGTGATAATTTCGTGTCTAGTCTCCATTTTTATTTCTAAATCT